ATGTTCTCTTTCGGTGCACGGGCAGCAGACTTTCGGAGCTCCGTGCGGATCTCTCTGGGCTAGGCGCTGGACCCCTCCCCCCCTGGTGCGCGGAGCGCGCCAGGGGCGGCGCCAGAGGCACCGCCAGAGAGAGCCCAGAGGTCCGCGCCAACCTCCGAAAGGCTCACTCGGAGAGCAAGCACAATGTCAGCGTCACGCCGGTCGGACGATCCCATGAGCGCGTTACAGTCGGACACAGGACATAATGAAATCCTTCAGGAGAACGAGACCTCCGCACGCAAAAAAAAGGGAGGAGCACTTCGAAGCCACCCTCCCAAAGGATGTACAAGAGCATCCGACAAGCACGAAGAACATTAGGGCACCCTCCCCGAACCGAAATCGATCTTATACCTCGGCCCGACTGTACTGTTGAACAAGAGCGGGCCGCTTGCCCAGAAAGCAGTCGAGACACTCGCACAGCTTGAGAGACGGCGCGCGCGTGGGGATGCCGGTGCCGCTGCTCCCGGACCTCTCCCAGGATGCGTGCGTTCCGAGCAAGATTCCGAGTCGAACCCCGACGGTGGCAACGAGGACCGCTCATGCCACTCTTCGCTCCTCCCGAGCTCCGCGCGGACCTCCGGCAGATCGATGTGCTCGTGCCGATTTTGGGCACCCCGATCCTCGGGGGGGGCGAGCACGAACACGTCCGCCCCGCTCTTCGCCCTCGCCCGGCTCCAGAACGCCATCCCCCGCAGGCCCTTTTTGCAGGACAGGGGCAGGATCACAGTCAACCCGTATCGTACAATCCCAAACATGCTCGCGTCGTGAAAAAAAATCAGGACGGCAAGTTTTCCACAAATTTTCGGCCCTTGGGGGCCCTCGCCGGGCCTCGGGACCGTCAAAAAACGACTCAGATCGAAAAACTGGTCCTGGGGAAAGGGTCGGGACTTCCAGGGGCGCCGTCCTGAAAAAATCAAGACGTCGCATGTCTGGAATAAGGATGCGCGGTGAGGATGCGAGGGCCTTGAAAGGCATTAAATGATGCGGGCGGGGCGCGGCCAGCGAAAGCGGCCAAGGCTGGGCCGAAGGGGCAGGATGCAAGGGCAACCTTGGGAAGTCGCGCATCCTCACTATGCGGGTTCTCTGTAGTGGAGGAAAAACCTGCGTCAACATTAGCTGTTGGAGCTCCACGCGGATTTCTTGGATCGGCGCTGGTGCCCCGGTGGCGGCGCGTCCGGCCCCGCCCCTGTCGTTTTCCGCGCGCCAGGGCGGAGTTCCCGGCGCAGGTCCAAAGAAACCCGATGGCAGGGGCGACGCCAGCGCCGACCCCGGCGCGCTCCGCGCGTCAGGGAGGGGGGCCCAGCGCCGACCCAGGAAGTCCTCGCGGAGCCCCGAAAGTCCATGTTCATGAAGCTCGTTCTTCTTCTCTGAAGGGGCCCTGGGACACACAAATAAATACACACAAATAAAAAGATTCCCCATATTTTCGTATATTTTCTGGGTTCTTGTCTTCCCCACCACTTCCCATATTTTCCCATATTTTCTGGGGGATCGAGGATTAATTGTGTCTGTGTGTTTCTTTTCCTCCTGATTCTCAAGGGATGAATGTAAAGCTTGCGCCGTGGCAACTCGGGGCCCCATGCGAGGTTGCAGCCCACGGTTCGCGCTCAGCCCAGGGCTCGTGTTCGGCCCGGGGCTCGCGTTCGGCCCAGGGCTCCTCTTCGACAGGGTTCCTTTTTCGGCCCAGGGTCCGTGTTCGAACCCCTCAAAGCTGGCGGGTCTGGAGGGTGGAATTATCCGGCAAGGCGGCCATCCCAGAGCGCTCCGGAACGCCCGGAGGGCGTTCCGGAACTGGAGGCCACCCAGATGGGGCCCGCGTAAATGGGACCGGATGAGTGCACCTCATCGCCGATGTGTCGGCGATGTATCGGCGATGCATCGGCGACGTCGGCGATGCATCGGTTACGTCGGCATGGAGAAAATCAGGCTCCACATCTCGCCCACCGCTGATGCATCGGCGATGCGGCGCGATCCTCCAGCCTCATCTACTCTGACCCCATGTGGGAGGCCTGGAAGAACGCTCTGGAGAGCTCTATCTTCATCCTAGGCCTGCCTGACCTTGCCCGACGCCGCCGCCGCCCTGCCAGTCGCCAGCAGCCCCTCGTAGGCCCTGGCGGAAGCGGCCAGCACAAGTTGGCAGAGGTCCGCGCGGCATTCTTGCATCGGCACTGGACCCCTGGCGGCGCCGATCCAAGAGATCCGCGCGCGGACCTCCAAATGTTTCTGTGTATGGCATTGCTGTTCTTTTCTTCTTTGAAATCGGGCAGGGGCCGTGGCCCGCCCCGCAATGCCGATGATCTCATGGTGAAGCAATGCTGATAAGATGCTGCAGCGCCCACTCTATGGCGAGAGCCTCCGTGTGGAAAGCCGACTCCGCTGAACGTAACAGCGAACCCCGCCGCACCAAAGCTTGATACTCGCAGGAACTGCCCTCAGGAGAGCGCTGCGCCGCCAACAGCGTCATCCCCATGGCGCCCGCTCCGGTGCTCCGGAGGCCGCCGTCGACGCTGGATGGCTGGCCAATCCGTCCAGAACACTTCTGTTCCTGCATCCATTGCTGCGTTGGCCGCGTGATCCGCCTGATTGTTGTAGTCCCGGGGGGTCCACACCACCAGGTCGGATTGCTGTTTCTTCGGGGATCGGAACGTTCATCGAAACAGGCGACATCGGCCGCGGAGCAGGTAGCGAATCGCATCGGCCGCGCCAGGCTCGTACAGCGATGCCACATGCATGCGCCCATTCAAGCTGGAACTTTGGGTCTGACGCAGATGGATCCGCAGGGAGAGGTGCAATAGAATTTGTAACAGCTTGCGCGTGGATGCAATCGGGTAACTCTCTTCACGCGCACTTGTTGTAGCCCGTGCAGTACAGTTCGTGCCCAATAGTTGCGCAGTGGTGCACGCAATAGCACCCAACTGATGAGCGACTGCACCTCTAACCGCCGAGCCATCCCACTCCTTCAGCTCAGAGTCAGGCCGCGCCCGACAGTCGGAGCCAGCGCCAGAAGCGTGTTGGCTCCAGACGGCCGAGATCCAGAATAAGATAACCAACTGCATAAACGTACAATGTCCGAGGTCCGCGCGGATTTCTTGCATCTGCGCTGCATCTGGGTCCCTGACCCTTTGGGGGGGGGACCTAGTTAGGAGGGCCCAAAACATTCAGGAAAGGAGGGCTTTTTCTGCAGAGGTGCCAAACCAAACCGCCCAGAACTGTCATCCCAGATGCAGAGACGGGAACCAAAGTGAGGCCACGTCTTCACTATGGTCTGAGGGTTGGGGGTTCTTGTGCTATTGATGCCAGAGGAATAAACCCAACTGCATAAACATAAACTTCCCGAGGTCCACGCGGGTTTCTTTGGACCTGCGCTGGAAACTTCTCCCTGGCGCGTGGAGGGCTACAGGGGCGGGCAGACCTCCGACATGTTCTGCTCAGGTCGTCTGCTAGTCTTCGGAGATCGACGTCGGATCCTGGCGGCGCGCAGAGAGGGGTAGGGGCAGGGGGGGAAGGCTTCTCAGAGGGAGGCTGCTTCTTAGAAGGCGCCAGCCCTACATAGTACAGGCAAGGCCCGCGCCTTCTGAGGAGCAGGGGGTGCTTCTGAGAAGCCTTCCCCCCTCCACCATACCCCCCTCTGTGCGTGGCCGAGGATCTTGAGCAGGCATCGACCGCCCCGGCATTCCATAGGCCTGCCACGAACTGTTCTTAGAACCCAACGTCGCTCTAATAACATAAGCACAAACATGTTCTAAAGATAAACACCACGTTCTGAGAACACAAGCCCCATGTGTTACAACACGGCAGTCTCCGCCAGAAACGCTCTAAGAACACGGCGTGCAAGCCACACAAGAGGTTCTTAGAACACTCTTTGGTCGGCCCCTTTGGGCGAGCTGGGACGCTCCGCCACTGCTTGAGGACCGGGCCGATCGCGGCCGAAGCGATGGCCCAGGCTTGGGCGCCCGAGTTATCCGGGGCAACTCGGGCCCGGGGTAACTCGGGTTTGGGTTCCCGGAAAACGAACCCGAGTTAGCCCTGACCCGAGGTACACCTGATGATTCGGGGCTCTGGACGCCCGAAATACCCGGGGTAACTCGGGTCCGGGATAACTCGGGTTCGGATTCCCGAAAAACGACCCCGAGTTAACCCTGACCCGAGTTACCCCTGATGATTCGGGGCTCTGACAGGCCTCGAGGAGCCCGCGCGCGGCGCGCGCCGCCGGCAGAAGCCGAGGCCGGGCGAGGCCGCGGCGCCCGCGGGGCCGGCCGCGGCCCGCGGGCCCAGCTCCAGGTCCGCGGCCGCGGAGGGGCTGCCGAGCACGGTGGCGCCGCCCGCCGCGCCGCCGGGCCCCGCGGGCGCCGGGGTGGCCACCTGGAAGAAGAAGAAGAAGAAGAAGAAAAATAATGATAATAATAGTGATAATAATAATGATAATGCTACGAATGATAATGATAAAAAAGAAGAAGACAAAAAAATACCCAATCCGTGGATCGTGTGGGAAAGGTTAGTGGCGTGGATCTTGCGACCGATTATCGGATCGATGGTGAGATCGATATGGAGCTGGGGGATCGATCGTGGGGCGATAATAATGAGGTCGATCGAGAGACCGATGGTGACGTCGACTCAGCGAGATCGATCGTGAGATCGATCGTGCAATCTATAGTGAGATCGACTGTGAGATCGATCGTGAGATGGATTCTGGGATCGATGATGAGATCGATTGAGAGGTGGGTAATGAGATCGATGGTCAAACCGATCGATAAAGATATCGATCAAGAGCCAAAGACCCAGCAACCGGGAACCCGGGAACCCGGGAACCCGGGAACCCGGCCGCCCACCGAAATCGGCCCCGCACTTTTGCCAAATCTTTCAATCTCCGCTAGGACCCCTTCAGTGCAAGCACTGATTGGGGAATAACAATAAGAAAACGAATAAGGAAAAGAAGAAGAAGAAGAAGAAGAAGAAGAAGACGGGATCCGCCGATCTGGCGTGTGAGTTTTCACGAGGCAAAGATTAGGCTTCAGCTGCGCTGGGCTGCAACCTGAGCCTCGGCTCTGCTGGGGTTGCTCTGCCAGGATGGCACTGCTGGGGTAGTTCTGCTGGGGTAGGGGGGCAGGGGAGGGGGGGGCACTAAATTCCAGAAACAGCCTAAGACGGGCCACAAAGGGCCCAGGAAACCACCAAGACGGTCCAAGAGGCTCGCGAGTCGGCAAACTACATAAGAAATACTGCTGTAAGAAATCTAGGGACACGTCCGTCGTCGACTCTGGGCTTCGTCGAGTACCCGAGAGCCCGAGGATCTTGCAGGCCTATCGAGAAAAAACAACGCTTACCGTGGGCGACCTCTCGTTTGGTGCGCCGACTTACTGTTCACTTCCGGAGCTCGGTGCGGATCTGCTTGGGGCTGGGCGCTGGATCCCTCCCCCTCCCCCTCCCCCCCCTCCCCCTCCCCCTCCCCCTCCCTCCTCCTCCTCTCCTCCTCCTCCTCCTCCTCCTCCACAATTACTCAATATGAAAATACTCTCCCTCTTCCCCTGATGGCGTCCGGGTGATGGCCGCGCACCCTCCGCGTACTGTTTTTTACACACAAGATTCCCGGGAAATCCCGGGAAACGACTCTCGCTGAGGCGCCGGCGTCATTTTTTCCCAAAATGCTGCTCTCGTTGAGGCGCCGGCCTCATTTCTGCTCCCGAATCGTTCCGAATCGTGCTCCCGCTGCAGCGTGGGCCTCATTTTCGGATCGGTGTTTGGCCTCCGTCGTTCAGGATGGCGTTCTCGCCCCAGCGCGGGCCTTTTTCACCACCGCCACCACCACCACCACCACCACCACCACCACCACCACCACCACCACCACCACCACCACCACCACCACCACAACCAGCACCAGCACCAGCGCACACCACCAGCACGCACGCACGCACGTGCACCACCACCCACTACGCACGCGCGCGCGGAGCCACAGGTCCGCTACGACACGCGTCCGCGGATAGAGAAAATCAGCGCCATGGTAAGGGATGGGAGGGAGGGGTAGGACGTCAGATATGACGCGAGCGCACCTAGCTTGTTGCCCCTCCCCCTCCCCCTCCTCCCCCTCCCCCTCCTCCTGTCCCCATGGCGCGCGCCGCGCGCCAGGGGCTGCGCCAGAGGCGCCGCCCAAGGGGGGCCGGCGGCCCAGCGCAAACGAGCCAGGAACGCCGCGCGGATCCCTCCGAGAGTCCGGGCCTGGCGCCGGGCCCGCCGTGGGCGGCGCCGCCGGCGCCGCCCCCCGGCTCGCTCCGCGTGCCAGGAGGGAGGGGCCCAGCGCCGACCCAGGCGAGGAGGGGGGGCGATCGGGGGATGACCAGCTCAGGGGACGGGTGGGAGCGTCGAGCCTGCATCGGCGCTGCACCGCGGAGGGATCGCCGAGCGGCCCCATGGGGAGCGGAAGAGCGCGTTCCTGGGCCGAGGGGGGGTCGTCAGGCACATGTCGGCGATGAGTGGGCGTCACGGGGTCGATGAGCTCCCCCAGGGCATTCCCACCTGCCGTGCTCCTGAGGAAATCCACGCGTTCCGATCTCGGGCCCCAGAGGGCGAAATCTAGGAAGGACGCTGGGATTGAAAAAGCAGTTTCCTCAAACATCTGGGGTGTCCTCTTCTCCAGCCACCGCCTCCTCTCGGGCGCACCGACGAGGAAGGCCGGGAAGAGGGGGTAGTCAGCGCACCATGTTCCAGCCAGGAGCACGCGCGCGGACGAGGGGGGGTGGGGCAGGAGACACCTTGAGAGCAGAGACGGGGCCACGACTTCCATCCACCCCTGGTAGTCAGGTGCCTCCCAGATAGGCTCCGAGCAGATGGGATCGGAGGACCGCGCCGCATCGGCGATGCAGCGACGCATCGGCGATGCACCGACGCCGCCAGCGTGGAGAAAATCGGGCGCCACAGCGAGCTGCCTCGGCGAGGCCTCGGCGAGGCAGCGCGGTCGTCCGCCCCCACCTGCTCGAACCCCACCTTGGGAGGTCAGGAGAACAGTCCCCCACCCTTCTGAGTGGAGCACAGTGCCAACAAACCGCCACGAGATCCACAGCGCGACGCGAGCACGCCACGCAGCACAACCTCCCAAGAACGAGAGGGAGGGAGAGAAAGAGAGAGAGAGAGAGAGAAACAACAGAAACAAAATGAGAAACCAAAAAGAGCCCGCCGCAACTTCGGCCCCGAACCCACACCACACCACCGCCCTAGCAGAGGGTTAGCGGAGGGTTAGCGGGTGGTGCTGTGGGGGGGAAGGGAAGGGGGACTCCAGGCAGGAGGACCTTTTGGAGCCTCACCCCGGAGGCCCTACCTGTTCGAGACGTCCTCGGAGAACGGCCCGAGCCCCCAAAACCGCGCGGTGACCCAGATCCCACCGACTCACCACACAGCGTGGTCACCGCACCGCCTGGGGGCCCCCGAGAGGTAGTCCGGCGCCGTCTACTAAACTGCGTCGCGCCCCTCCGCCCCGCGGCCCGCGACGCGCCGCGGTCGCCGGGCCCCGGGCGCGCCGCTTCAGAGCGTGAGGGTGAGGGAGGCGTGCCCCGAGGGACCCGGGCACAGGCCCCACTGGGGCCCACAAGCGGCCCGGTGAGCACTCTTCTGCTCGATCCGTGCAGCAAGTGTCTCCGGGCCACCGCACATGCTTGCGGCCTCGGGCCGTTCTCCGAGGAGGTCTCGGGCGACCGGGGCCTCCGGGGGCCCCGAGGCCGTGCGGTGCCGCACCGCGCGGTGAGGCCTCCTATACGGGGCTTCGCGAGGCGACCGCGCGGCCCGCCACCACACGGACCCTCGGGACCCCAGAGGGACTCCTCGCCCGGCTCGTGTTCTGCTGCTCGGACGGGCCTGCGGAGGACCCGTGGAGGGCCCCGACGGGCCTTGAAACGGCGAGACACCTCAGGTGTGTGTATAGGGACACGACCGAGGGGCTGATCCTATACGGGGGCCCGCAGGCAGAGGCCGAGGAGGAAGAGGCTAGCTATACTCCTGTTCCTGGGCGCCGCGCGGAGAGCAGCGCACTGTGTGTGCCGATGCCAATACCTGAGCCGATACAGCTGCGGCACATGACGAGATCATAAGGATATGAGCGGACTTCACACACACACACACACCAGGTCGACCCTCGAAGAGGGAGGAGGAGGGAGGAGGAGGAGGAGGAGGAGGAGGAGGAGGAGGAGGAGGAGGAGGAGGACGGGTAGGACCCTTTTTCACAGCGTCGACCCTCGAAGGTCTTGACCGCTTCCCCCGGACCGGCTTCTCCCCCCGGGCGGACTTCTGGCGGCACGCGTGGGGCCTGGCGAGGGCCCCCAGGCGCCGAGGGCTGCGCATGGAGTCCGACCTCGGCTTATGTGCCGCTGCCTATTGGAGGTCTGGGCCCCTCTGCTTCATGGCGCGCCGCCCCGGGGCCCTGGACCACTTCCCTGGGACCGGCTTCTCGGCGCACTCCCACCTGTGGATGGGCTGGAACCCCACGCTTCCCAGCACATGAGCGACAGTGTCGCTCCCAGAACACACCCGCCAAGGGGTGGCCGTAGAGAGCCAGGCGTAATCGGCATACTGGGCTACCCTGGGTTGTTTTTTTAACGGCCCCGTGGCCCAGCGAGGGCCTCCAGACAACAAGCACCGAGGAACCCTCCGCCCTTGATGCTCAATACTGGAGGAACAAAAAATGCATGAGCATACACGTTTGGAGATCCGCGCTTGGACCTGCGCTGTAGCCCCCCTGGCGCGCCAGGGGCGCCGCAGGGCCCCAGCGCAGATCCAAGAAATCCGCGCGGAGCTCCGGATATTGATGTTCACGCATGCCTTCTTCTTCGAAGCACGTTGGAAACAGAGATCCGGCGCTGCGACCAGAAACACATTCGCGAAACATCACGACCAGAGCCCCCCTTCTCTGCGGCACTCGTCACTGGCAAAGCGGATCCGCCACGGAATAGCTACTGGAGGTGGCGAACATGTCGAATGATCGGACGGCAGAGTTGTATGCCTGAAGTGATCCAGACCGTGTTTGGTGTCTACAGTCAGACTTGATTGGACAGGACACGCGAGAGGACACAAGACCCTTCCGAGCGCCACACGGCGGAGGCATGGCTCGCGAGACGCAGGACACGAGGGCACACCCTTGATGTGGCAGCATCGACCTACTAATCTCTGTGCCGACTGTACAAGGGGCGGCGCTGGACAAACCTCCCTTTAGTAGACCTCTCCTTAGTGAAAACGGCCTGGGACCGAAACCGACGGACCTGGACCCGCAAAAATGACGGCCGCGACGCCCCCTCGCGAACCGAAAACGGTCAATTCCTTAATCGACGTGTCAGGGTAGGAGGTCTGTCCACCTCCTAAAGGGGCGGAGGGAGGACGGAGGACCCGGATCCCGACGGCGGCACTCATCACCGTGACGACCCCCCAGGGCCCGACACACTGGGCGACACAGAGGCCCGGCCGCTCGACACGCCGCTCTGGGGGCGCCGCGGCCCGGCTCTCCGCCTCTTGGCTCCACGCGTGCACCGCCGCCCCGGCCGGCCCTCCCCGGGACGGCCTCCTCCTCCTCCTCCTCCTCCTCCCCCTCCTCCTCCTCCCTCCCCTCCTCCTCCTCCTCCTCCTCCTCCTCCTCCTCCTCCCTCCTCCTCCCTCCCCCCTCCCCTCCTCCCCCCCTCCTCCTCCTCCTCCTCCTCCTCCTCCTCCTCCTCCTCCCCCCCCCCCCTCCGGGGTGTGTCTCCGACGCGCCCGGGCTCCGGCGAGGGCCCCCGGAGGCCAACGGTGGCACGAGTCAACAAAAATAGAGGGCAAACAAACCTAATTACCTCGCTTTTGACCACCCTCGCTTCCAAGAGATACCAAGCGATGCCAAAACTATGGCCTGTACTGGTCAGGCCGCTTGACGAGGAGGCGAGTGGTATGACTTGGTTCTGCCTGGAAGCGAAAGCGGCGTAGGTAACTCACGCTCTGAAAAAAAGCCAGGAGTGTGCGGTGGTGTCTCATGCGGGGCCTCCTCTCCCACCTTGCCGGCGCTCGCGAGGCGACGCTCGCCGACGCAAGGGCGACGCGAGATCGGCGCTGTACTCGACGCGAATCGGCGGCAAATCGACGCCTGTCGACACTTCTCATCGGTGACATAAGCCAGTGCACGTGAGTGCAGTCTAAACATGGAATTCCGACGACATACAAGGCTCCCATGAAATGCTGCCCAAGTCGTTGCTTCCGCTTCCCCGAGATCAGTCTTCGTCCCAGGTACAGTCAACCTGTATAATAAGGACGCACGAGAAGGATGCAAGGGCCTTGGAAGGCCATGTCGACACTTTGTCAAGCGGGGCGCGGCCAGCGAAAGCGGCCAAGGATGGGCCGAAGGGGAAGAATGCAAGGGTGCAAACTGGGAAAGTCGCTCGTCCTTCCTATATGCGGTATGACTCTACGTCCTTGACGCTGCCGGGCCCCAGCGAGCCCCCCCCCCCTGTGGCAGAAAACGGCAAAAGACCGTCGGCCTGGGGAGGAAATATAGCAACACAACCATACCATGGCACCAAGAGGCGAGCGAAGCAGCAATAGCAGGAGACCATCGCATAACCATAACAATACCGTCGGGACGCTCTCATGTTTGGACGCCCGAAATGGGTACGGAAAAATTGGTACAATGCCCAACAACAAGTGTTGCCCCAAACCGACAGCGGACGCTGTTGGGCAGGTGGCCTCCTGTCTCAAATGGACACAGGCCGCGGCTGCGTGGACAGCGAGTCCTGTCCAGAATGAACAGGACCTGCTGTTGGGCACTGTACCCATTCTTTCTGTACCCATTTTTGGGCGCCCGAGTTATCCGGGGTAACTCGGGCCCGGGGTAACTCGGGTTTGGGTTCCCGAAAAAGGAACCCGAGTTAGCCCTGACCCGAGTTACACCTGATGATTCGGGGCTCTGGACGCCCGAAATATCCGGGGTAACTCGGGTCCGGGATAACTCGGGTTCGGATTCCCGAAAAACGAACCCGAGGTATCCCTGACCCGAGTTACCCCTGATGACTCGAGGCTCTGACTTTCTGTACCCATTTCGTGCGTGCAGATCATGAAGCGGGGGGGTCTGGGCTTCCTCCGCGGCGCGCCGTCCCGATCCCGCCGCGGCCCTGCGCGTCCACGGCCGCGCCCGCCGGCGGCTCCGCCGCGGCGCCCCCGCCGCCGCGGGCGAGCGGGGCGCCGAGACCGACGGCCTCCGCCGCCGGCGCCATGGGCCAGGGGCGCGGCGGCTCTGGGGACCGGCTTTGAGCGGAGTTTGGTCGTGCTCGTCGTCGTCGTCGTCGTCGTCGTCGTCGTCGTCGTCGTCGTCGTCGTCGTCGTCGTCCTTGAAGGGCGTGGGGGAGGGAGGGGGGCGTGGGGCTGCGGGGGAGGCTGGGACGGGAGGGCCTCGCTCCCAGCGCCAGGGCCGGGAAGCTCCCGTGGGCAGGGGGCGGCGCCGCAGACCTCTCCGGGCATCCTTCTTTCCCCTGCGGGTGGGCCCTCCCCGGCATGCCAGCTCTCGGCGAGCCCAGCGGCGGACTGCTTCGAGAGTCGCACAGGAGGCCGTAGCCGCGAAGGGTCTTTAATAACCCCTGTATGTATATATATATATGTATACAAAACTGCATTGGCGCTTCGCGCCGTGCACCTCGATCCTTGAGGCTTTGCATCTGCTGGTCGTTCGCACCATCCCTAGTGGCCTTGGACATTGGGCCCATTCCCTGCAGTGGTTTTCAAATGTTTTCGAAAATTCGGTCGGTCCCTAGCCCTTCCTGGGCCTCGGGGGGGTTCCCGTATGGCGCCTGGTGGAGGGCGAAAGATAGGAGGGAGGGAATCTCGGAGAGCGAGCAAAGGAAGCGGATGTGGGGGAGAACGAGTGGTGGAGCGGCAGAAAGAGTAGGAGGAGGGAGCCGTCGGGGGACGGCGAAGAATGTTGCAGCGGGTTGCAGCGGGTCGCAACTTGGCACGCGAACGCAAATAATTCGTAAGGAATGCACCCAATCCCGGGTTCGCAACACACTTCCCAGATTTGTGGTTGCGAGCCCGGGATTCGTGTTTGGTGGAAAACGCTGTGTGTGTACGTGCGCGTGCGCGTGCGCGTGTGCGTGTGCGTGTGCGTGTGCGTGTGCGTGTGCGTGTGCGTGTGTGCGTGTGTGGGGTGCGGGTGTGTGCGTGTGTGTGTGGTGTGTGTGTGTGAATGTGTGTGTGAATGTTGCGTGCGTGCGTGCGTGCGTGCGTGCGTGTGAATGTGTGTGTGTGTGAGTGTGTGTGTGAATGTGTGTGTGAATGTGTGTAGGTGTGTGTGTATGTGTATGTGTATGTGTCTGTGTCTGTGTCTGTGTCTGTGTCTGTGTCTGTGTCTGTGTCTGTGTCTGCGTCTGTGTCTGTGTCTGTGTCTGTGTCTGTGTATGTGTATGTGTATGTGTATGTGTATGTGTATGTGTATGTGTATGTGTATGTATGTATGTATGTCTGTGCGCGTGCGTGCGTGCGTGCGTGCGTGCGTGCGCGTGTGCGTGTGCGTGTGCGTGTGCGTGTGCGTGTGCGTGTGCGTGTGCGTGTGCGTGTGCGTGTGCGTGTGCGTGTGCGTGTGCGTGTGTGTGTGTGTGTGTGTGTGTCTGTGTCTGTGTCTGTGTCTGTGTCTGTGTCTGTGTGTCTCTGTGTCTCTGTGTCTCTGTGTCTCTGTGTCTCTGTGTCTCTGTGTCTCTGTGTCTCTGTGTCTCTGTGTCTCTGTGTCTCTGTGTCTCTGTGTCTCTGTGTCTCTGTGTCTCTCTGTGTCTCTGTGTCTCTGTGTCTCTGTGTCTCTGTGTCTCTGTGTCTCTGTGTCTCTGTGTCTCTGTGTCTCTGTGTCTCTGTGTCTCTGTGTCTCTGTGTCTCTGTGTCTCTGTGTCTCTGTGTGTCTGTGTGTCTGTGTGTCTGTGTGTCTGTGTGTCTGTGTGTCTGTGTGTCTGTGTGTCTGTGTGTCTGTGTGTCTGTGTGTCTGTGTGTGTGTCTGTGTCTGTGTGTGTGTGTCTGTGTGTCTGTGTGTCTGTGTCTGTGCTGTGTGTCTGTGTGTCTGTGTGTCTGTGTGTCTG